GCAGACGCCTGCACAGACACAGAAAATTACTGTTGTGTTGATTATAAACATATACTCATTTGTGTTTAAAACTTGCAATCTAAAGGTACCAAGTCTCTTCCCTTACCAATATGATTATAAAATGTCTCCATGACAGAGGCAGAGGGCCATCCAGCTGGAGCAAAGCATTGTGGGTGCGCAGAAAACAGGTCAGGTAGGTGGGATGTAGCCCCATCATCGTGTTGATATGGTCTACACGTCCCTCTGACAACAGAGCCTCTGACATCACTTCCTGTGCTGCCCCTTCCTCTAGAATCTGAAACAAACAGATATGTAGAGAACACAGTTTTGTTCTGTAAGCACTGACAACAATACTATATTTATCATCTAAAGATACGCTCACATTTACTGTTGCTAAGTGAAATTTTGCAGGCAAAATCAAGGCATGTCAATAGAAATCTGCTCGTTCTCCACGCAGATTTTGCTCATGTTTAAGATGCTCATTTGAATTTGCCGCACTAACAGAAAGCTGCTTAATTTGAAAGTGACTTCTGTGCAGAGGTGTAAAGTATTGGAGTAAATGTAATTAGTTACTGTACTTGAGTATCTTTTTGGGTACTTTGTAGTTGTACTGAGTATCAAAGATATTAGCAACTTTTACTCTTTACTTCACTACATTTTTGAATGAGTATCTGTACTCTTTACTCCACTACATCTGAAATGAGTGTTGCAGTTACACATTACATTTTGCATGGACCTAGCTTTTTCTGCAGCAGTTTATTTCTGCTGCTTGTTAGCCCCCTGTGTGTATATATAGCCCTAGTTTTTCCTTTAGTTCCTTGTGAGTTGTTGAATGTAATGGTTGTCTGTTTGCCAGTCATTCTGTTCTTTGTTCCCTTTGGTTTTTGCCTTATTGTTTTTTCATGAAATACCAGCATAGATCCTTGCCTCTGCCTGTTTTCCGCAGCTTCTCCACAACATTACAGTTTTTTGCTGGCATGTCTCTTTGACTAGTGCATCTTTGAGCCTTAGTATAAGTAAAATACTTAAGTACTGTTAAAATCAGATACTCTAAGACTTTTACTCAAGTTGTTTTGGAACTGGTGACTTGTAACGTGTAGTGGAGTCATGTTCACTGTAAGGTATCTGTACTTTTACTCAAGTATGGTTTTTAGGTACTCTTTACACCTCTGCTTCTGTGTAAACAGTGTTTCAGACAGTGTGCTAATGTGAATGCACCTTGATCTCCCAAACCTTTCTGTCAGCCAAACCTCTTTTACCTAAAATATTTACCTGAAATACCCCCTGGGTTTTAAGTTAATATCTCCATAATTTAACAAAGCATTTGCATGTTCACAGTCCTCTTATGTCAGTTTATGGTCACATGACATGCAAGAAAAATCAAGTATTTAATTTCTATTCCAAACGTATTTATTTCTCAAATTTTTAAGATTTAATTATTAGCTTTTCACCAAAACACAAAGCTACTTCATTCATTGGATGTAAAGCCAAATTCCACAAACAGGCATGTCAAAAAACAACACACACCTCTTCAATTGGGATAAAGGCACTGGGCCCAGAGGGCAATGCCTGGGGTAGGTCAACTCCTGCTTCCTCCTGAGAAAAAGAAAGGGTGACAATAGACACTAATAAAGATACTGAAAATATAAAGCCCTTTGTTGTCCAGTTGAATAGTTTTGAAAAAATATTAAGCCTATCAGAGAGATATTAATGTGCAATGCATTATCATATAACTGGCACCAAGCTGTCATTCCAGTAAATGCTGATAACATGTTTAAAAACCATTCAGCAGTTCTTACAACGTCGTGCAGTTTATTAAAATCAACAGTTTTTTATACGTTGATAAAAATGTCATACAATCAAGTCATATACATATTTCATACATTTTATGAAACATTTCTTTTTGTTTTTCGCCTCAAACTGTTCACCCCAGATTCTGTTATCAACTCATTTATCGGTTGTCCGAAGGAAATGCTTCTTGGTTCAGTGAATCAGTGAGTTAAGTGAGTTGTTAACGCGAAACGGTTCGGACCGATTCAGTCCGATTCGTAAATTTAAAAAATCATCAAGTTTGGCATTAACAGATACGCTCACTAGAACAACTGGATACTTAAATGAACATCGCTGGCTCAAATTGACCTTTAATGACTCGCAATATGAAGACTTTAAGGAACACATCAAATGATAGCTCAGGTAGAGCATCTACTGTAAACTTTATCCGTGAGCCGTATACAAACAGACTAGACACCGACTCACCGACACGGCCATAAGAAGACTCGGTCGCATAAAGGAACTCACCTTCATCTGAAGAATGCAAGTGTTCAGAAGTCACAGGTTTAACCCAATGATGATGCTGGAAAGTCTCGGAGGGTTTGCGCTCTATGACTTCATTGCGCCTGTAGTCTTCTGGAAAGCAGGAAACGGCAGCGGAAGGAGGCGTGGCGTACGTGAACACACAGCGCCGGACTCTTGCATCACCACTCCGGCGCAGCATGACGCAACCCGCCGGTAACGGAGATCAGAGCTCCCGGCTCCAGCTGTAAACGGGTATACTGTGTTGACATCATGTAGGCCCTATGACCTGCCATTTTGGTACTGCTGTATAAACCAAAGTGTAAGCGATCATCTTGACGTATCTGAGGGCCTGGTTCTTTTAGGGTTAACGTTAGGTAAAAACAAAACAACGTCTTGACGCTTTCATAGTTGATGAAATGAAAGTGGATGTTAGATCATTTTTGAAATATTATATTTATTCCTAAATCCATTTCAGACAATTTTTTATTTTAAGCAGAAGTTCATTAAAGCGATTATTACAAGTGTGATCATAATGATTACAATATAGAGATTTTGGCATCTGTGCTTGTCAATTCAAGTTGGCGTCATCGGGGGTCCTCGCTGGGGTCAGCATCATCTCTTCAAAGGCGTTGGATCATCTGAAGTCTTTCAAACCCGCCGGTAACGGAGATCAGAGCTCCCGGCCCCAGCTGTAACCGGGTATACTGTGCGGACATCATACATGACCTGCCGGTTTGGTGCTGCTGTATGGACAAAACTGTGAGCGAGTCATCTTGACATAGCTTAGGTAAATATGACAATGTAGAAGTCTTGACACTTTCATAATAGAAAGTGAATGTTAAATCATTTCGGAAATATCTTTTCCTAAATCCATTTGAGACAGAGCAATGTTTTTTCCCCCGATTAACAGCTTAGTTCTGTTCTACAGAAGCATTTATCTGACAGCCTGTCATGTCAGTGACAGGTAGCTTTAAAATAATTATAAGCTGGTCCAAACTGGTCATTAGCTGGCCAGTAACTATTGTATTATCAAGTCATATAATCTTAAATGCAGCAAGAAAGTAAAATTCACCCTATATATTTTCTAAATGCATATTAATGATCTTATTGTGAACAATTCATTAATGCATGTTACATTTTTTATTTTATTGAAATGATTTTAATCAGAATATCATGACTCAGTCTTCTGGTGAAACAACAGACTTCTCAGTGGTGACGTATGCTGGATTTTTCTGATCATTTAGTTCGCCTAAACCCTGCCATTTTACAGTCGACTGCAAGCTAGCATTCAGTTCTTACTTCATCAACAGAACCAAGTCCTCCTGCATTTTTCTTTTTTCAATATAATTCATTTACATCACAATACAGAAGAAAAGATCTCTCGCTACTTCCATTTCTTTGCGATTTTAAAGTGGTCAAACTGGACATGGTTGCTGGTCAGTAAATTAACACCTAGCTTAAACCAGAGAGGAACCATTGTACATCAGTTTGCTTAGCCTCAGAAACCATGAGCAAACTAAAAGTAATGTTAAAAAGACAGCCTCAACTATAAATAAGGGTTATGGGTTTACTATCAAACATAAAAATTACAAGTGTGTTGTATGCAGTGTTGGGGGTAACGCATTACAAGTAACGCGAGTTACGTAATCAGATTACTTTTTTCAAGTAACTAGTAAAGTAACGCATTACTTTTTTAATTTACAAGAAAATATCTGAGTTACTTTTTCAAAAAAGTAACACCAGTTACTTTGTTTTCCCAGTTATTGACTGACAAGTCTCCTGTCCCCATATTGGGAGAAATCGGGAGTACAGAGGCGTTGTGTGCGCTGTGTGAACATGATGTTACTGTAGTTCTAGACTAAATGTGAATGTGCATTAATTCATCCCACTCACAAAAAAACAGATTTAGTATTCATCAAAATGCATTAAAACAGTGAAATACAAACTCCGAATATGATGCAAACCTGCAATAATTAAATATGTTAAATAACACAAATGCATCTAATCCCATTTTATTAACCAATGTCTTTGCTGCTGACCTTTGATGATCCAGTTCAACCATACTAATAAGCAAAAATGACTAGATAAACTAACAATTGTGCTTCATTGTTTTATTTTTTTATTGCTGCAGAGTGTTTCTTCTGCTGCGTTCTACTGTACAGACGTGAATTTACTTTTCCTTAAGCCTGAGGTTACACTTTTTGGTGTGAAAGGGCTTTTACATTTGCTATAAATAGAACTTCTTATATTAAAAACAATCAAGCCCTGCTCATATTTAAAAAGTAACGCAAAAGTAATGTAACGCATTATTTTCCATGAAAAGTAACTAGCGTAATTAGTTACTTTTTTAGGGAGTAACGCAATTTTGTAATGCATTACTTTTAAAAGTAACTTTCCCCAACACTGGTTGTATGCAACATAAAAATTGGGTCCTAAAGAAAAAAGATCATGTAGTGTAATAGAAAAGGCTCTATAGTTGATGAGAGAAAGCCTCATTCACTTCATCTACAACCTTTCATTACTGCTGATGTTATATAACTACAGCTGCTTTACATACACAGACTCTTACTCACACTATACATCCCTCTGTACCTGGGGCTCCTAATAATTACGCTGAACATTTTCTCTTATGTAACCTTGCATTGAAGAGTAATGAAGCCTAATGCACATCTGTTCGACACACAAAAACAAGGACACAACAAACAAAGACACAGACACAAAATGGGATTTTATTGAATCATCACAAGCGGTATGTTTAGCACTTGCCGAGTCAGTGAATGTTTGCCTGTGAGTTACATGTGTGTGTGTGTGTTGTGTCTGCGTTTGTGTGTGCTTCATGGAGTGTTTTATCTGAGAAAATTATCAAGTATTCACACATTTATTTCAAGTCCAATCTTATATTAAATTACCATTATATATATATTCCATATAAAATAATATTTTCGGGGCAAAATCTGGGAGAATGTGTTTGAGAAAGGTAGAATGGAGAAAAGCAAAGACAGAATGAAACCTTCTCTGGATTTAATGTACACACCACCTCCCCACAGGGAAGACTTTATTGTCCAGGTTGTATGTGAAGACCTTCTCAGACCATATGGGAATATTTTTAACTCAACACACACAGGGTTTTGTTAGAGGGAATGGCTGTTTGAATATCGACACCTTGAATTGTGTCGATTGGTGACCATAATTCAGAGCAAGCTTGGTCAGGTAAACCATGGTCATCATCACAATCAGTGCTCCATCCCCATGGACAATAGTGATGAAGGCAGAGTAGCAGAAAGAATTGGAGTGGAGGACAGGAGAGGAACTTAAGCATTAGGGTCAGAGGTCACATGAGGTGTTTTTTACAAGAAAAGAAAGGAATGGCAGTGTGAGAATTAGATGTTGGTGCCTTCTCAAACAATCTTGTTCTCCAGGGCAGTGATCCTTTTCGTCACAGCTTCCAGTGATGCTGCTGTCAAGGAAATAATGCAATAGTAGCATCCTAACCATTTATGATGCCTTATACATTTTTATGCTTTAAACATTGTTGTCTATACCTACACATTTTTCTTTTAGAGATGCATTACTGCTAAAATGCTGGTCATTATAAGCCAATAATTATTTTAATTTTAATGGCTGATAACCATTTATTACTTGCAAGTAGGTGAAAATGAGCATGCATAATTAAATTTCCAATATTGACAGATATATATCTATTAAACCCAGTAAAAATCAGCTGTTAACCAGTATGGTACCATTATATTGTGCACGCCCTAATTTATTTACATTTGATTTTAATTTTAATACGGAGTCCAAAGGTGTTTCATCTCAAAACCTCTTAAAAAGACACATCTCACCTCTCAGCATTCCGTAAGTCAATATTGAATATTGAGCACAATAGGAATTTGTGTAGTAATATTTTAACCTGAACCTAAACGTTCTAGTTAAGAAAGGATATATTTCTTTGTTAATGCCTGTAGTGCCTCCTCCACTTTTTTCTGGAACTTGACAACGGAATTACATTCACAGGGATCTTCCACTGCAGGAGAGCAAAAACAAATTTAGTTGATGAAATGCTAGTTTAAAGGTCATATTCATCTTGATTTTATTTACCTTGACAAACATTGATTTGCAGCTTCTTGGCAATTTGGTTAATGGTTTTGAAGTCTGCCGTGTAGAAGTAATGGTCAGCGACAGGTTCAGAGGCGATTTGTTTCAGCTCGTCCTCAATAGCGTTGCCAACGCCCACAGCATACATCTTAAAGCCTAAAGCACAGACACAGCGCACTGTAAAACACTCAGAACTCATACACATTGCTTTTTGCATTGCATTTCTGTGTGTTTTTTCCTAACCGTTTTCCTTGGCCTTCCTGGCAGCATCTCCGATGTAGTCTTGTGACCTGCCATCAGTGAAGACAATACCGACCTTTGCCACTCCGGGTCTGGCGCCCTGGTTAGGAGTAAAGCTGTTTTCCACCAGGAAACTGATGGCCAGGCCAGTCATGGTTCCCCTCTCCATATAGTCCATCTTTTTCACTGCTTCTTTCAGGGCCTTTTTGTTGTTGTAGCGTCCCAGAGGGAACTCCTGCTTCACAGTGCTGGAATACTGCACCAGTCCCATATGGGTGTTTGTCTCTGACACGTCCAGTTTGTCGATGATCAGGTTGATCCATTTCTTGACCAGCTCAAAGTTCTCTGGTCTCACACTCTTGGAGCCGTCGATCAAGAAGACCACATCTGTGGCTGCGTTACTGCAAGCTGGGATAAGAGAGACAGAGGATGTTTGTGGTAACTTATGAGTTTACAAACTAGGGTCCAGGATCCCCCATGAGACCGCAAGAGGATTCTGGGGGTCAACCAAAAATTTAAGAGAGAAAGACAAAATTCAAAAAATTAATTATTAGGGCTGTCAAAGTTAACATGTAAGCTTAAGGTATTAATTATATACAGTGGGTACGGAAAGTATTCAGACCCCCTTCAAAGAGTGAAAAATTGAAGGGGGTCTGAATACTTTCCGTACCCACTGTATATTATAAAAAATGTTTTAAATACATTTGCCAAACTTAATTAATTATTCATTATTTCTAAATATAAAATGCCTAAAAATCCAATTGATTATTCTATTGATGGCCCTAGTTTTCAACAGTAAGAAATAAAAACTGAATCTGCATATATTTGTGTAAGAATATAAACAAAAAAATATAAACATAGGTTTATACATCTAACATTACTCTAATAGTGGGTGGAAAAAAATATTTCACTTTATATCAGAGTAAATATTTTCCAGATAATATTTCCAAAAATGTAATTTTTGCTTCAGTATGGTGGAAATATGAAAGTCAATTATTTAATATAGATTTTTTTTTAAGAAATATTACATTATTCTTTTCTTACAATCGATAAATGGGTATGTATGAAAATATAAAGCAGACTTACAATTTTAGAAAGGGTGTCATTTTGGGGTTAAAAAGCTTAAAACCCTTGTGGGACCCTTGATGTTAAATTATCAGCAAGTCGTTTAGTCACATGATAGTAGTTTGCTTATTTTGCTTAGAGTGAATGTGTTTGGTTAGTAGGCTGTGAAAGATAAAATGTCTCTTGGCCATTAAGAATCTGATTCATCTTTAAAGCAGGGGTTTTAAATAAAGTACATCAAAAACTGCACATGGCAATGAAGTATTTTACTTATGTCTTTGACACTTACCCAACATTCATACATACTCACCGCTGCATGATCGGCCGTCGCCCTGGAGTGTGAATCCCTCTCTGCAGGCACACTTGAAAGATCCGGGTGTGCTGATGCAAGTGTGCTCACAGTCATGATCGCCTGTCGCGCATAGGTCCGACACAACCACTACCATGAATGTAACACACACACACACACCGGGTAGGGGAAGGAAGGGTTAGCGAGGAGAGAATTACTCTATGTGAAGTGGGAACTCAAGAAAATCAATGCGTTTTAATAATCCGCTGCACTCAAATGAACAGCAAATCTTTAAAACACAGAAATATGTCAGAGACCCAGACACCTGAGACTTGCAGAAAAAGAAAAGTTTTGGTATTAGTCTCAATGTTGTTTGTCTCAGGTGGCTGTTGCTCTGATCCAGACTTTCTACTGCATTGGTTCTCAACCTTTTAAGGTTTGAAATTGTCTGTAATATCAGCAAGCTGAGAACCACTGCACTGCAGGGACTACAATCACATCAGTGGCTACACATGCTTTTACTTCCTCCCCCAGAGAACAAGTGCAGTGGAACATCAAGCACAAGGTGGAGATCTACGTCTGGAGGTGAGATTAATCATAACATGCCCTATGGATACTCATGCCCTCTGTTGTTTATACACCTTTAATATCAGCAGCCATGGTGAGGACAGTCTCCAGACCTCTATTCCCTCCCCTTTCTTCCTCTAACCCTCCTCCTTCCTCTTACCACAGAAGGCCTCCTGGAACTTCTTGGTGAGCTTCTCAATCAGGCTGTAGCTCTCCGCGTAGTCCACGTGATCCTCAAGAGTCTCGCTGGCCATCTGTCTGAGCGTGGTCATGTCCACGCGACCCACTCCGATGGCGAATATCTCAATGCCGGCCTCTCGCGCCCTTGCTGCAATGTCACGGATGTTGTCCTGAGGTCTGCCGTCGGTCACAATAATGGCAACCTGTGAATGTTTATTAATGATATATTTTACTGAAATGGTCTCAAACTGCTGATTTGCTCACATAATTGTAGATATGTTCGCCTGGGCCTAATGTATCCATTGCGGATTACATAATGCAAGATGCATGTTGCCAAAGAAGAGGCTTAACATTGTTATTGATGCCAATATGGTGGTTTTATGGGATTGTTAGGACTCTGACCTTGCTGATGTCAGGGGATTTGCGCGCTCCCTCGGCTTCGCTGAAAGCCACATTCATGGCAAACTGGATGGCGAGGCCGGTCATGGTACCGGTGGACAGTGGCTCGATCTTGGACACGGCTTTGACCAGTGCTGCTTTGGTTTTGTGGGACTTCAGAGAGACCTCGTTCTTCACTCGACTGGCATAGTTTACGACGCCCACACGAGTAGCATCAGGCCCAACGTTCAAACCATCAATTACTTTGGTCATGAAGACCTTGACCTGTTCGAACTCTGAGGGGCGGACGCTTCGAGAGCTGTCGATGATGAACACCACATCAGTGGGCTTGGTGTTACACAAGCCTGCAGCTGGAAAGAGTGAAAGAATGAAGAGAAGATGTAAATATGTGTGAATATATTATATTCACATATATAAGGGGAAGTCGTGGCCTAATGGTTAGAGAGTTGGACTTGTAACCCAAAGGTTGCGGGTTCAAGTCTCGTACCGGCAGGGATTGTAGGTGGGGGGAGTGAATGTACAGCGCTCTCTCCCACCTTCAATACCACGACTGAGGTGCCCTTGAGCAAGGCACCGAACCCCCAACTGCTCCCCGGGCGCCACAGCATAAATGGCTGCCCACTGCTCCGGGTGTGTGTTCACGGTGAAGATATTCATCGGGGGCCTAAAAGAGGACATCGAGGAGCACACCCTCACCGTGTGTGTTCACGGTGTGTGTGTTCACTGCTGTGTGTGTGCACTTTGGATGGGTTAAATGCAGAGCACTAATTCCAAGTATGGGTCACCATACTTGGCCACATGTCACATGTCATGTCACGTCACCCCAGTCAAACACTGAACATGTCAGGTATTTTAAAAAAATACATATATATATGGAGGAGAGAAGTCTCTTATGCTCAAAAATACAGTAATATTGTGAAATATGTTTACAATTTAAATGAACGGTTTTCTATTTGAATATATTTTAAAATGTATTTTATTCCTGTGATGACAAAGCTGTTTTTTCATCAGCTGTTAATCCAGGTTTCAGTGTCACATGATCCTTCAGAAATCATTCTAATATGCTGATTTATTGCTCAAGAAACTTTTATTATTATCAGTGGTAAAAACAGTTGTGCTGCTTAATATTTTTGTGGAAACTGGTATGTTTTTTTTTTTCCAGAATAAAATGAAATGTTTAAAAGAACAGCATTTATTTGAAATTGGAATCTTTTGTAACATTATAAATGTCTTTACTGTCACTTTTGATGAAAGTATTAATTTCTTTCAAAAGAAAAAAAAATCTTCCCTTCCCCAAACTTTTAAACAGTATTGTACATATTGGGGTGAAGGAAAAAAGTGAGAGTGAAAAGCTAGACTGCGGTCTGCAGGTAACTCAATAAATGTACAGTGTTGGTCATTCTCATAATAACTCCCATTGATTATACATTCAGCCTCAGGTATGCATGCACACACATATTTACATACTCTCGTGCAGTACAGGGCCTCTTTGTGTACAAATGTAATGACATTTGAAACCTTAAAAACTCATTTTCCTAGAGGACATACAAGTTATGTACAACCACTGGAAACAACTAATTACCCACTTGATTGAAGTTCCTCTGGTATTTTTAACACATATCTATGCAAATGAAACTAACAATTTAATTATAGATTCTCTAAGCATGGCTTTAGAACACAGAAAATTATCTTTAGCACAAGAGGAGATAATGTAATTCTACTCAGAAGTTATAATTAGACAAATGCTAGATGAAGAAAATTATGCTTCACAGTGCATGCTTTTTGAGGTCACATATTTGCTTAACATTAATCTCTATCATCCAAACTATTGTGTTAAAATAAAAATATAGGCAAATATGATGATTTTAAATAAAATATTTCTACAGATGTGATAACTCAGATGTAGTTTAGCATATGTTGTGTTTGGATGCTGGTCTGCATGTATTTAGGCTTCTTAGCTTAAAGGGACAGTTCACCCAAAAATTAAAGTTCTGTCATCATTTACTTACTTTCAAGTTGTTCCAAACCTGTATGAGTTACTTTCTTCTGTTGAACACAAAAGAAGATGTGGCTGAAGAATTCTGAAGAATGTTGGTAACCAAAAAGCTGCTGGTTGCCATTACCACATCTTCTTTTGTGTTCAGAAGAAGAAAGGAATTCATACTGTTTTGGAACAACATGAACATGAAACATGACAAAATGTTAATTTTTTACATTCAAAAATCTTTAAACCAGCTTCAGGAAAAAATACAATGCTGGTTGACCTGCATTCTTTTGCTATTCTTTGTAGTTATAGTTATTTAGCATACAGGTCAACCAACACTAACCAGCATGCATTTCAATGCCTTTTCAGCAAAGAACACAACTACATTAAACCAGCCAGACTCATTTTTGTTGGGATGACATTTGCCCTTCATTACATATTCAACAACACAAATTTATTCCTGTTGTTATTGGGTTATTAGAATCCAGTTATAAATTCATGACATTGATGGATCTGTTAATGATGCAGTCTGTTTTCTTACCCATAGCAGCAGCATTTCTCAGATCCACAGTGGCTTGAGCTCCCAGGATGCATAGCAGCATCACAAACCCCGGCAATGTCATACTGTAATGCGGCGTGAGTCCTAATGACCTGCTCGACAACCAGAGGCAGACTGATTCACAGACAGAGAAACGTGCAGGTTATCAACACACACATATTCACAGATACACACTTAAGTTTCGAGACGCCCTCAGATCCATCTCCCCGAGGTGTATGGACTGTTTTGGGGGGAGGGGGATACCTGCTCCGAAAAACCTAGAGTTTGGGTAGGAAAGACAAACACACCTTGATCTGTGTATATGTTTGTGTAAGGGAAACCGAGTTCATTTGGAGCCCTAGGAGGGGTCTCTAGCTTGGGGTTCAACTCAAATAAACATTAAGATGAATCTGTCTTTTCTGGGCACTTTTCCTCTCAAATTAATCTCACACACGCAGGAATTTATGCACAGGAATTATGTGGGAAGCCTCCATGCCTGATCCAACACAGACGCCCCTGTTCTGACTGTGTATGTGCACGTCTGTGTTTTTCTTCTATATGCACCATGCAGTGTCTAGTATGTCTGTTGGGAAATGCGAGTGTCCATGCGAGCACATGTAGGCCTGTGTCTGTGCGTGAGATAAAAGTTGATCACACTGAGTGTGATACAGCATTTCTATTAGAGGTGTAGGCCACATTTTCACCTGTCAGTACAAAATAGTTAAAAATGTCATATATTATTTTCTGTCACTGGCAGACCCCTTATTAAACCTGCATGACTTACTTCTATGCAACATGAAAGGAGATATTTTACAGAGTGTCCAAAATGAAAATGAATGGTGACCACAGCTGTTAAGCAAGATTATCAGCGAATGACTTAAATTTCAGCCAGTTCCTTACAAAAAGCTATTGTATGCCTTCAAAAGACATGAAACGCACTGCACAAATTGTATAATTTTTTTTTAATACTTTTTGTAATTTTGGGCTTGACAGCCCTGGTTACTCTCCACTTTCAGTGTAAGCAGCTCAAACATTCATCTAAACAACCCGTTTTTTTTTTTTTTTTCTCAAATGAGTTTGGAACGACATAGGGGTCAGTAACCCTTTAAAGCTTCTTGTGAAGTACCCAGAAACACTCGAAAATAATTCCCCGGTAGTCCAGTTTGTCTATGTAAATGAGGTGCGTGTGTTTGTTTTATATATTGCATAACACAGCAATTAAGGTATCTAAACACATACTGTTTCTCCTGCTTCCATCCATTCCCAACCTGCTGGAAAAAGCCATGTGAAGTGTGATGCCAATGACATTGACAAGAACATTAAAGGGTTTTTTCTTGCACCATCTGTACCACACTATAGCATGCTCAAGTCTCCTGGAAAAAGCTTGAGCTCTTTATAATTCATTTTGAAAAATGTGTAGCTATTGACCAAATTAAGTGGAAACTAAGGTATATGAAACAGTTTATATATATATAATAAATAAATATTTTAAATGCTTTACATATATTTTGTCATGTATCACTGAGCATGATGTGAAGATTTACGTGTTTGAATTTTATGCAATTATATCAAGCAATTTAAATGGTTATTACAGGGATTCAATTTCCCGTCTTTGCTTACACAAACAGCTTTAACTGTCTCATAATCGTATAACCAGATCTAGCTTTTGGCTTGTGATCAAATGATAAGCATGACAGTGATGCATGAGAGAAACGTTACTGTTTAAACCGAATGCCTGCCAGTAAGGACACAATAATTAGAAACACATAAATTAAGTACCTTTATTTTGTAAAAGCATAGATGTAAGCATAGCCATGCCTGTTTGTGTTGCATGTGGTTGTTAGTATGCGTGTGAATATTTGTGCTTAATATTTGTGGTTTAAACCCAAAGGGGTTTTTTGCATCATAAAAGCATGCCTGAAGCACGCATTGAGTTTAAGCCTCATAATAGGAAGGGGGAGTATTTTCTGCTCTCATCTTAAGAGCCTCATCATAAGAAGGCAGCTTCACCTGTTAGTCAAAAACACAACAAATATCCAAATGTTTTAAACCGTAGATAAATTATTATTATTATTATTAAATAACTACATATAGTTGATCTATTTGCGTTCACTCAAATCAAATCAAATCACTCAAAACATTGGGCAGTAACTTGGAATTGGAGGTTTATAATATATATGTAAAAAAATGTATATGTTATACAACAACATTAAAACTGCTGTATCGTGTGACAGCAAAACAAACTCCATTATAAATGCACTCACTGTCACGGTATTTCCGGTGTCAACACTGACGGCGGCCATACTTTCTGCTTTCAGGGCATAGAAACACCTCGTTGACACATGAAGGACGTACACCTACACAGAAAACACAGGACTACTAATAAAGGCCAAATGCACCAAATTATTCTAAACATATAAATGAACACACTTGTATGCAAAAACCATCCAGAGGGGAGTTTAATTTCCCTCTACCTTTTCCCAAATCCTTCTCAAGGACAGAACACACTTTATGACTGGCTCCATACATCGCGTTCATTCCTCAAATCCCCCTTACATTCCCTCTTCTACAGCTAAAAAAGCTTTGCTTTAGACCAGGGATCCTCAAATCTGGCCCACGAGATCCACTTTCCTGCAGAGTTTAGCTCTAACCCTATAATCAAACAAACCTACCTGTGATTTTCTAATGATCCTGAAGACATTGATTAGCAAACTCAGGTGTGTTTGATTAGGGTAGAGCTAAACTCTGCAGGAAAGTGGATCTCGCGAGCCAGATTTGAGGATCACTGCTTTAGACTGTACTAATCAGACCAATAGACAAAACAACAGTGTGTGTGAATATAGGTGTATGCGTGTTTGCAGGAGTTCATTTTTATAGCTGATTACATGTATCATGTCATATATCCACTACTTATTGGATCAGTAATATTTTAGAAATGTATACTTTTAATCAGCAAAGACGCATTAAATTTATCGAAAAAGTGACAATTTAAGATATTTGTAATGTTATAAAAGAAAAATGTATCATGGTTGCCACAATCATTAAACAGCACAACCGTTTTGAAGATTGATAACAATAATAAATGTTTCTTAAACAGCAAATCAGCATACTATAATGATTTCTGAAGGATCATGTGACACTGAAGACTAGAGTAATGACTGCTGAAAATTCAGCTTTGCCATCACTGGAATAAATTACAATTTATAGACAAGTTATTTAAAAATGTAATAATAATAATAATAATAATAATATTTTATTTATATAGCACCTTTCAGGAACCCAATGAAACTTTACATAATATTGGCAAATAATACAATAATATACAAACAGGGAACAAAACACTTTCATAATAATATCGTTTTAACTGTATTTTTTTATCAAATAAATGCAGCCTTGGTGAGCATAAGAGACTTTCAAAAACATTACGGTAGTGTATCGATTTGAAAGTTTAAATGAAAATTGCTTTATTGATAAAAGTAGTAAATATTTAAAAATCTTTTAAAACCTATATTTAAATATATAAAAATATTGAAATATATGAAAATATATATATTGAAATATATTTAACAAATACATTTAATATATCTAAAACTTATTTTCTGGTTTAGATATAATTTTGAATCCCAGTTTTTCAATGTAGTTTGAGACTTTTGAAGGCAATTATACAGAAATACACACACGTATTTATACCTTCAGCAGTATGTACATCATATAGAGAACTGAGTATGACATGGTGAACTGGCCAATTTCCTCTTCATTCAAACTATCGACTCTCTTCTGACCCTTCTGTTAGAGACATACATACATGTACACATTAATTTGGGTAGAATTATGTTGAAATTGAAAGCTGAATAGCCATGCAGTTGTCATGAAGTCAACATTTAGTTTTGTGACAAAATCTATGTTATGTATCTCACTACAACTCGCAGCATGTCTCTGTAGTTGGGGGTCCCTGGCAGACCCCAGGCTCCGTCAAACAGGCACAGAAAACTCAGACTCAGCTCCACAAACATCATCAGCACAAAAGGCAGCACAAACATCGGGCCCTTATACAGAGAGACACAAGTGTTGAATTATCTTTCTATCAATAACACATTCAATCATTCACACTCCATATAGAAAAAGGTAAGAAATTAAGAGAAGAAAAAAAAATGTTCCCTGTTATAGACTGATCAGATTTGAAATGTGTAGTTTGGAGAGAGCGCTAGGACTCCGTGTTTCACCACCTTCATAAATATTGAGACAAGCTCTCTTTCTGGAAGCTGGGTAAATATTGGTGTCGGCTGCAGAGTTGAAAATCTAAGGTGCACACTCGCACACACTAAACCACTGCTTATGCACACTTACACACGCACATGCATAAACATCCAATAAAACTAAAACAGACCAGACTTATTTAAAAGGTTTCACCACACAGATCGTTACATTACAAATTTAGTATGTATATTTGTCTTCAGTAGCACAGATTTATTATTGTTCTTGTAAACTCCCCAATGAGTATTTATCAGAGTAAGTTACTGTGCTGAATATGGTGTGCATTCAAACAGCACAGAAGTCATAGTATAATAATGGCATAATTATTCCAGGTTAAATTAAATATTTTTGTAAGTAAATGCTATAAACTAATATTTAGTGTGATATAATAACCTTTAGTGTCATGCATAAAACAATCACCTTAAAAACCTGTCCTAAAATAAGTAAAACAAATAAATAGTGAATATTAATTTTATTTCTGTCAAAATTTGGTTTAGCATTGTATTTTATTAGTATGCTCGAGAAGATGAAACTAACACAGTATGTTCTTGTAATCTGCTGTATTAAAAAAAAACTTTTTTTTTAAACTAGACCCTAAAATGGTATATAATCATTGCATCATGCTTAAGTATGTAACTATCAATTGCAATTAACCTAATGTAATATTTACATTTTTTACAGTAAATAAAAATAAAATAAAAGATAAAATTGAAACATTAACTATATATAAATATTTTTATTCCATTCATATCAATGCAGTTATTCATGTATTAATGTATTTAAATGTATTCTGTAATGCAACACTGCTTTTGCTCATAAACCACATTTAATTCATTTATTTCTGTACTGATGTTTTCAGACTAATGTATCACTGTGTGTTCCCCCCACCATTTCCATTTATTTATGTTTAGAGTATAGATGGAAACTGTATTTTTCTGTCAGTGGCAGTGTACACAGTACCTTGCGTTTAGAGAACAGGACCAGCACAGCAGAGATCGACATCAGAACCAGCATCAGGATGTTAGTACTGATGTCAACTGGAAAGAAACAAAGAGAGAGAATTTTAATGACTTTCAATTTAGTATCTTAAATTATTTCTTTATCAAATACTGTTATTTTAATGTTTCTTTTATGTTGTGACTAAGTAATTTACGTCTTATACTGAACAATGTTTGGTCAAATGTAGCATTTAGTGATTTTTATATTGATTTCATAAAAAGATTTCGATTTTAATTTTTTAAAATGTATTTATATTTTTTATAAACTAAACACTAAAGGTGTTTTTATTTAAAGGGGTCCTATTATGCTCTTTTACAAAGTCTTGATTTTGTTTTTGGGGGTGTACTAGAACATGCTCTCATGCTTGGTGGTTCGAAAAACGCATTGTTTTCCACATAATTTACATTATTACAATACCTTTCTCCCCAGCCTGGCACAAACTGCTCGATTAGTTCCAGGTTTGATGAAGGCCCGCCTTCCGAAAAATGCAATTTGTTCTGATTGGTTAGCTGTGACTAGTCTGCAACTAGATATGGACTAAAGCAGTTAAACGGGAGTCTGGCAAGCTATTCTGGTTTCCTTTGCTTTAAAGCTTTACTTGCATCAGCTGGTTTTTCAATTAAACAAAAATGCCCCAAAAACAGAGAATGGGTGACTTGAGGGAAATTCGTGTTTGAGGTTTTGACTGGGTTGTCAGCCAATCCTCAGCTGCTGACCAGCAAAGCACAAACCGGGATCTGTCTGCAGACTAAGAACTGGGAAAAAGCCTCTGTTGGGCAGAACGGTTCCACAGTACAGGAATGGCTTCAGGCAGTGATCCGATCTGCTGCTGCCTCTATCAGCTGGAGCTCACAACAAAGCTGCCATCGTGATACAAGCTATTCATCACTTCTTTTAAACAAACACACTACAGCAAATTATACATGTCAAAAGTGAACTGTCTAATTTGTGATAAGAAAAGTATTCTGTTACTCTCCATTTTTAAAGGCAGATGCATCTATGCATTCAATAGAGTATGTAGGTGACACCCATCGAAGTCCTGATAATCCCAGCCACTTATTTTGCAACCATGATCGACAGTATATTATCCCCATTTATAACAACTACATCATGAGTAAAATAAAATGATTTAAGATAGGTTAATTATACAGTTTCTTGTCATTAAAGTGGTCCCATGTTCTTTTACAAAGTCTTGATTTTGTTTTGGGGGTGTTCTAGAACATGCTCTCATGCTTGGTTGTTCGAAAAACGTTATTTTTCACATTAATTTACATTATTACAATACCTTTCTTCCCAGCCTGGCACAAACGGCTCGATTAGTTCCGGCTTTGATGAAGGCCCGCCTTCCGAAAAACTAAATGTGGTGTGATTGGTTAGCTGTCCCAGTGCGTTGTGATTGGCAAACAGCTTAGATGGTGTTTCAGTACTGCCCCCCGCCCCTTGCCAAAGCAGCAATTTCCGTCTGCTCCGGTATAGTTAAAGCTGCAGTCCGTAAGTTTTGCCTCTTTGTTGCCATCTCTGTTTGAAAACCTGCAATTGCAGCTGTGTGCGGAATTATCCTCCTTGTGGGTTGTGAGTCGGCGCGGCTCCAGCGCGGATGAATCTATTGTTTTGAGGAGCATAATAGGATCCCTTTAATAAAACTACAGAATATATAACCTAATATCCAGTGGGGACCAAAAGTCTGAGGTCAATGACAATCCGCAATTCAAAATGTCATTTAAATCTTTAAATATATTAAACAATTTAGAATTCTGAAATGCATTTTTGATACTGATCATATGAACTCTTGGGACAAAACTTACTATGAAATTCTGAAATTCATAAGAAAAATTTAACTTTTGAACCTCATTTAATATCTGAATGAAGTGAACTCACAGACACGCTGGCCCCTGGTAGCCTTTGATTCATGATAGGGGACAGAAAATGCCTCTTTATCCAGTGAAACCGTTAGCATGATGCCCACCATTTTCAGCACATTACCAATCTAGAGAGACGTGCGCATACAT